AAAAAAAAAAGGGGGCAGGATCAGCACAGAACGGGAATAGAGCTAAAAAGGGAACGCTTTTTTTCCGGGTTATGACAACATACTCCCAAGCAGGAATCACTTCCTTTCTCCAGTTAAGTCGAGCGGTCTTTCCAATAAAATAGAGTGGTGGGGGATGGAGTTAGTGTGTATTTCCCTGGAAAACAAACTCTAATTCATGCCAGTTAAACACTAGAACTAAAAATGTACAAAGAAGCTTCAAAGGAGATGAAGTGTTTGTTAGAGTTACCTTTTCCTCTCTGACCAGTCCAGAAGGAAAACAATGACTACAAATACAGCAGGCAAACTGACTTTCGGGCTGATGGGCACGGGAGAGAGAGAGAGTGTTGTAAGGAATTCAGTCTCAAGTTGTGCTAAACGCTCTTCGTCCTCTGTTATGGCACATTTTGGTCCATATGGGGATTTGAAGTTGAGACGAACCCTGATTTCTTACAGAAACGTGTAAATATTGTTGCTTTTTTTTTTTTTTTTTTTTTTAAAATGCCAGGTGTACTTCCTTCTACAAAGGTTGGGAGAGGTTTATAGGAAGTAGTCTGGGGTACGACGGGTGACATGAGGCTCTCCACGACGAGGTGCTGGGTCAAACTGGAGGCTGCAGGGAAGAGAAAGGGATCACTTACCCTCCTCCACAAGTCATTTTCCAACGCCACAATAAATACCAGACTGGTTCTCCTGCTGCTATTGTTTTACTCATCCCAGCTCCCAAAACAAGTGTCCATGGGAGTTAAAACTCATCCATTGGCCAAACTGCTGCTTACAGCCCATCCCCACTGTCACGTGAGCAGAAAATTCAGACCTTCTCACCCACCTTTACAAAGCTCATGCTACCAAAAGTTAAAACAAATACATAAATCTGGATGTTTTTACTCTCTCCATCAAGACTGGGTAGTAGAGGGATCAAAGTGCAGAAGCTCTGACTCTCCAGCCAGCCAGGAAGAGGAGCTTTTAGGAGCTTAACTCACTACTTATTTTTAGGGTAGAGCAAACAACATTAATCCCAGAGTGGTTTGAGTTGGCTTTTCACGGAGAACCCCTTCGGAAAGGATCAGACATTCCTCACAGACCTGCTAGGAACAGAGAACAGCCCAAGCCAGGGTACTCACAAGGAATATTTTAAAGTGTCATCTAGTTCCATGATAGCAGCCTGGTTCCCACAGCGGTAACAGTAATTGGGGGCACTGAAAATGGTAACCACATTCCGGTCGTGGCACCAGTTATAACCCTGCCAGGAAGAGAGAGAGAGAGAGAGAGAAAGAAAATGTCTCTGTTAAACCTCAGCTTGTCTGAAGTTCCTCTTCAGGCCTGAAATGCTCCGAGGCACTTGTGAAACTGGAGATCTCATTAACTATTTCCAAGTGACTTGGTTTCATTTCAAAATAGGTGCTCTGCTGCAAGCAGCAGCAGCAGGTACCTGGCAAAACCAGCTTCAAGCACTCCCCAGGACATCATCCATTCCTCATTTGTGTGTTTATCCATTTTATATACAAATTATGGGCTGTACCACAAGAAAAGCCTTGAGATTTTTAGGGATGCCTTCAGCTTTCCATCCACCACCACTGACAGTTTGCCTGCTGGATGCGGGTGACTTCAGACACACGGTACTGCTTAAGGGATCTATCTGCAGCAGATTTTAAAAATACATCTGCTCCATTGACCCACCTGGCAGCTTTCCAGCAAGACATTCAAGAATAGCCTGTTGAGAGCCAAAAATGGCTTAACCTCTGTCACATCTGAGTATTACGGATGCAGCAGCAGCCCAAGTAGAGCTGTCAGTGTGTAAGGAGATTATTCCTGCCACAAACAGGGTGCGACAAGGTCCCTTTGGCAGTTTACTTGGAGGGGGACATTTACTCGGAAAGGGCAGGACATCCCTTTATTTGCACCGTGTAATTTTACGTTGCTTGGTTTTTTTCACATGATTAAAGCCTCTCCTTGGCACTTGCCTGCCTAAGACTTAGGTGTCAACAAACCCATCAGTGGAAGGTGTCAGCGAGGAGACACCAGTGGCCCCTGTTTGGTTAGCCCTTGGCTAGCAGAGTGCTTGCCCTTACCTCCATGACCAGCTGGTGAGCGCGGGAGACCAGTGTGAGACCATTGGCGTGGTTAAATGTTTCGGAGATATCCTGCCCGAAGGTGTAGCCAGCACCACGTGGAGATATGCCCCAGCCACCGCGGTCATCCGGATCCGACCACAGCAGATCACACATGGGACCCTTGGGAAAGATTAAGCGTTGTTAGGTCGCTGCCAAGGCGGTGAAACACATTTTATTTACAGTAACAAGACTCCCAGCAGGACACACACTCGCAAGCCCCACAACTTCCAGCTGCCCTGGGAGCTCCAAGGGTGGCTTTTCAGCCCTGGTTTCAGGCCCCCAGAAAGTGATGAACAAGGATGAAACACCACTGAAGGAGGAATTGGCTGGGGGGGAAGGATGGTGTCACAATGTGGCTTCACGAGGTGGTTGTCAAGTTCACAGCCACATCTGTGATGAGGCTGAATGTAGTAAACACCTTTCCCTGCCAAATACTGCCCTTTGAGTCAGCCTGACAGTCCAAAAATCCTGTGATTCTGTGGAAGACAGCTGTGAAACCCCCACAGCTCTCCTTCTGTAGGCTGCTGTAATCAAAGCAGACTAATTTGGGTGTGCTTTGCCTAAATATTTCACCTGCTCTGGCTTTTGGAAAGGCCATAATCCGTGTGTAACCGTGTTTAAATGGATTTCAGTGTGAGGATACATTGGCATTATTGGAGTTTCTGAGGCATTTCCTTTCCTATTACCTCGTGTGGAACTTCCTGCAGGCGGTCCAGAGCCCTGATATGATCCAGTGTATCTATGGATGGAGAGAGGCCACCGTGGAGGCAGAATATCTGTTCCAAAAAAAAAAAAACAAAAAACACAGCAATCCATTCAGTGCATGTTGTTAAGAACGATCTCCAAATCAGCTGCTTTTAGCTCGGTTGGCAATTACAGCCCTGGCACCACCACTTTAAGGGAGCTGGTTTGGGACTGTTCTCGTGGCTGTCAGACAATCCAGCCAGCAGGAACCCTGTGGAACGGAGTGTTTTCTTTCTCCCAGGCTTACCTGGCCGTCTACTAGAGCTGTGAGTGGGAGATAATCAAAGAGGTCTGTGAAGTACTTCCAGACGTTGGCGTTGCCGTACTTGCGCAGACACTCGTCGTAGAAGCCGTAGACTTGTGTGATTTGCCTGCTTTCGTGGTTGCCCCTCAGGATCGTGATGCGTTCCGGGTAGCGCACCTGGGCACGAAGGAAACGCTTCCTTAACGTGGGAATCGTACCACGGGCACGGAAAGACACAGTAATGGAACACTGCAAACAGCAGCCGAGCGCTCAGCTCCGTGCTCAGCACGTGTCCACTGCTGCCTATCAATTTACATCCGCTGAGCTCAAGTCAGCTCCAGAGTCTCCAGAGCAAATCCAAACTCCCCAAAATCACAGGTTTTGCCCCAAATCTCTCAAGCCATACCTTCAACGCTACTAGGAGAGTCACGGTCTCCACGGAGTAATAGCCTCTGTCCACGTAGTCTCCCATGAACAGGTAATTTGTGTCCGGCGACTTCCCGCCGATCCTGAAGAGCTCCATGAGGTCGTGGAACTGCCCGTGGACATCCCCGCAGACGGTGACAGGGCATCGTACCTCTTGCACGTTCGACTCTTTTGTAAGGATTTCTTTAGCCTGGCAAGAAAAACACGTTTAGGTCAAAAAGGCAGGAAGTTCTTCCAAGAGCAGGTGTGGATGTTATTCCACTGCATTCCCACTGGAAAGCCGGATTCAAAGCGGCTCAAGCTGATCACTGGAAAAACAGTTTGGTGGGTGAGGACAGACAAGGTGTGTTTCCCAAATCCCTGTGCACCAGGACAAGCAGGTCTGTTATGGCGAGGCCTGATTCCCTCGCCCAGGGCACTTTTTCCCTGCCAGAATTCCAATCCTCTTCCAAGCACAACAGTTTAGTAACTTCTAAAAGCAAGTCACATACAACTGGAAAAGCAAAGTGAGAGGCAATTGAAACATACTGAGCCCCAAACAGCTTCCCTGGCCATACCCAGCTGGCAACAAAACGGCCACAGATGGAGGGATGGTATCCCTGGATTTAGTCATTTCTCCTTCCACACCCAGCAGCTCCTCTGCTAATTACAGCCATGTAATGTAGCCTATCTGCACCACATTATTATCCTTATCAAATACCAGGTTTGCTGTGCTGCCTCCAGCTCGCTGACTGATGCCGATCAGCGCTCCAGGCACACCGGAGGCACAGGGAACACCCCCGGGTTGGCTCGGTCTGATCCCAGCAAAAGGGAGGGAAGATCACCAGGGCTGAGCAGTCACCAGCAGGTGATGATCTGGGCATTCTTTGCCACATCCCTTAGCTCAGGATGAGGTAGCTCCCACCTGCTACTGCCAGGAAGGAGCTGCTTCCCGAGGATACCCTCAGTGCGCTCCCCAAGGATGACTGCATTCCCATTCCAGTGTTTGCTGCCTTGCCTCTTTTAGAGAAAGCTTCTATTGGGAAGGAATAACTAAACCCCAAGCAGTTTGGACAGCTTGGACAGCATCCAGCATGCCCCTTGCACGGAACATAACCCGAGGGATGTGACCCTGACCCTAAAAGACACATCCTGCACGTGGACTCGATGATGAGGGGTCTGCCTTGCACTCCTAATCCGACTGGGAACTGCTCAATGTGTTGTACTGGAGTGCAATAGTAGCACTCAGATTCTGCTCACACATCTTTAAAAGCATTTATAGTGCCTTTGGAGAGCTTCCACCCTCGGGGAGAGACAAATATAAACCCACAAAGCAGCTGCTCCGTGTGTTCCGACTGCTGCACACAGCAACAGGCTAGCATTTAGCTGGAAGCTGGAGCTCAGCAGAGCTCCCCTTCCACAGGAACAGGGCAAATATGCCCACCTTAAATCCAGCCCAGGAAGGCAGGCCAGCCCAGGTCCTGAAATTCTGGTACCAGGAGGATCCAGAAGTTTCCCCTCATGAGAAGGGGAGGAGCTGGCAGCTGACAAGCAGCAGCTCCTTACGCTGCCAACCAGCTGTTCCCCTGCAGCCCTTTTTAGCTCACCCTGCAGACACACACCCGTGCACGTGGACAGACCCAGGCTGGCATTTTAACTCTGCAGAGCTGGTTCAAGTCAGGCCCAGGAGCCCACGTTTGCCCTCACGCGATGATTTTCGAGACCTTCAGAATCTTCAGCATCGATAAGAAACAGCCCAGAAAAGCAGTAACTACCCAGGGCATCCTCCTGCACTGTGCAGAGCGAGCACTGACATCAAATGACTTAAAATAACGAAAAGCAGCACTAAAAACAAGAATAAAAATCTCTGATTCAGGCAAGGCTGCCTGGCATCGTCATCACTTATTTATTTCAGGAGGCTGATAAATAACTATGACTTACAAGTCAAATTTTAGCTACCTTTGCTATAGAAAACAGTGACTAACATTATCAGCTTCCTGAGCATCTCTGTCCCACTTGTTCTGGATGAAAACCATATCCAGGTCAGGATGAAAAGAAGCAGCTTTCAGGTGTTTTCATTAAACAAACCTAAACAAGAGTTGCCATGTCTGCGCTCAAAGTGACTTTGAAGAGCAGACTGTTTGCTAGCTGTGAGCCTGCCCATCATCCCAGCTCCTGGTGTGGCTTGTGTACAAGATATCCTTGGAGAGCAGAGATGGAGAGATGAAACGTTCCTGACCGTGACTCAACACAACACCGGGAATTTCACACTGTGAAATTGTGGCCCTTCTTACACCCCCAAAGAACAAGGATAGGAAAGAGAAGCTACAAGGACAGGGATGGTTATGGTTATTGTTTAATTCAGGAGACAGACTTTTCCTTGTCTTCTTACATATCCCATTTCATTATTTTGGTGAAAAACCCTTTTTCTGGTGAAAAATCCCTAACCTGGATTAAGCAGAATGGCTCTCAACTCCCTCACCTGCACCCCAGTCATGTCCAATCCTTCCCTCATTATGCCAGTAATTAAAAATGACACACATGGAAACTCTGGGATTTAGGGGGATTTTTTTCCCCACCTCATTTTGATTTCTTGTTTTAGTACTGAGTTATTCCACAAATTTAAACCCGAGGCAAGAGGTACTACTGTGCTTGGTCTCTTCAGAATCAGTCCCAAAAAAGGGAATGCTAAGAAGGGACAAAAGAGTTTCTCCAAATATTATCTCGAGGAAACCAACTAAACCAGCTTTGTGGCAGGGCTGCACACCCAGAGGTTTTTGTAAGCTCCTCTCCCGGGTGACAAAACCACTCCCCAAAACTTAAACAAGCCAAGTCAGAGCACAGCACAGTATTTCCTTCGTGTCCAAGTCCTTTCCACCACTTTCCAGCACCCTGGAAGTACGAGGTGCTTGTGACAGATGACACACCTACCTGTCACCTGGAGGACAAACACCCTGCCCACCTCCAGCTGAGCTGCCACTCTCCCTGTTCCCTGCCTGCACAGCCACAGTCTGCTGGCACTGCCCTCCAGCTTCCCAAATTGCCACAGCTCCAGCTTCCCAAAACACAGCAGCCACAGCTCCCCCAGAAACGATGGAGCTCTGGAGAAAAGAGTCACAAAGCTCCCAACGTGGGATTGAAAAAGGAAAGAGGGAAGGAAAAAGGAGGGAAGGAAACACAGGCAGAGTGGGGGTGAGGTAGGAGTCAGGATCATTGCTGGAAGCACCAGCCAAGGAAAATCTTCACTTGGTTGCTGTCTGCAGTGTAGAGGGAGTGTTCGCACAGAGCTATTGGACTTCTCAGACAAAACCCAACACCAGTCTAAGGATCCTTCTCTAGACTGAAAAAAAAAAAAAGAAAAAGACTCTTGCCAGTCTCCACTAAACCAATCCAAGCCGGCATTTGCCAAGGGCTGTCCAAACCACAGCCCGGAATTGCAGACGGTGTCCTTTATCCGACCATTCCTCCTTCTATTTCGGTCCCCTTCAGCAGGCTCCGAGCCTCCCCTCTGACCCGCTCTGCTTCCCTCGATCCCACCTTGGATGTCACGGGGTTTCCTCACTGACTTGGGGTTGATTTTTCAGCACGGGGCTACGACACGTTGCATAGGATACCAGGATGACAGACACCTCGCAGGCACCATCCGCGTCTCCCAATGCCCGATATCCCGCAGGCACCAGCCCGCTCTCCCAACGCCCGACATCCCCGCGGCCGCATCCGTGTTCTCCCGGCGCCCGATATCCCACAGGCACCACGCCGGCTCCCCCAGCGTCCGGGCCCCGCACTCACCTTCTCGCAGAGGCTGCGGACCTGGCTCTCGCTCAGCTGCCGGCACTCGTTCAGCTGCTCGATCCACTGGTCGAGCTCCTTGGCGAAGCCCTTCTCCTCCATGGCGGGGGCCGGGCGGGCCCCGCGCGGCCCGGGCCCGCCTGTGGGTGGCGGCGGCGGCGGCCGGGGACGCGCGGCCCGCTCGGGTCTGCTCCGCTCCGCGTAATGGCGGCGCCCTCCGCCTGCCGCGGCTGCTGCGCACTTCCGGCCACGCCCACGCCGCGTGCGCGGCGTGCGCGCGCACGCTTCCGGCGCGCCGCGTCCCCACTCGGAGCCACGCCCCGTGCCCCCCCGAGGCCACGCCCCCGCTGTCACCCCCTCCCCGCCCCTCAGAGCCACGCCCTTCTCCATGGCCCCGCCCCCTCGCTGTCCCGCCACGCCCCTCCCTCCCCTCACAGCTCCCGCCCCTCCAAACCCCTTGGCGCAAGCCGTGCCGTTCCAAGGAAAAATGGATAAAACGCTCCGCTCTCTCTAAGGAAAAAGGATAAATAAAATCACGAGCTTCTGCGCTCGCTGTGGGTGTCGAGAGCCAAGCGCTGCCAGCAGGGCAGTTGTTCACTCTGGGAACGTATGAAAATCCCTTTCATTAAGCGTGTTACTAATTCCCTTCACTATATTCCTGTGACACACTATTGGGCACGCATACCGTGATGTACCCAAGGCAGCACGTGATGAACGAATATAAGCAATAAAGATTAATATGTTTGCTTACAGTCTGGTACTCGATCCATCTCGCCCTCAGCCCTAAATTGTGACTGACCTACACAAATTTCTGCTCACTGCTCTTCATTTACCTTCTGCAATTTTTCACTTGCTTTACTGTCTCCTCTGTACCAAAATGGAATAGTAATATCGTGATAATGATATAATAATTCACTGCTGCAGTCTGGAGCACTGTGTGCCTGTTCCAAGTCAAGGACTAGGATTTTAGGGGATCACTGGTGGGAAACTTTTCTGGGATTTTTAGCAGAATAAGATAAATCAAGTCCATGGGGTATGTTTTTTTCATGTCAGATGGAAAAGCTGAGGTTTGCTGAGGACTGACTCAGGTTGTTCTTCTACTGGAAATGCCGATGCCAGTCCCAGTTTCCTTAACTCCTGCTGGGTAATGCAGCAGGACTTATGGACCCTTGAATCACTTGAGGTGATTCAAAACAGTACATCCCTGAAGTGAACTTTCCAACTAAAAATACACTTAGCAAAGTAAAAAGGAACATATATATATATATATATAAAATATAATTTTGTAGCTACTCTTCTACATGCCCAGCATTTGCCATTCCAGTTCCCAGGAAAGACAACTGCCAGGAACCATCCACACACCCCTGGACGTTCAATTTGCTGATTTGTTTCCAGAAGATTATTCTTAACCATATTGCCCATGTTTGTGACACTGCAGCAGAGAGCAGTCCTGGGATAAGGAGAATCCTCCAGCACGGCAGTGAACAATAAATCTCCCCACCCCTACAGCTCCCTGAGCCACTGTCTCTGACCTCTGAATTTTGGGCTGCACCAGACTCCCACCTCCATGTCCAGAAGTGGGATTTGCTTGTGGTGCTGGGCTGCTTTTCTCTCTTCTTTTGGGATAATTTTCCCAGAGATCTCCCATGCAACAGCCCCCAGGCCCTGGTGCTTCCCAGCTTTTAGTGTGTGGATTTTCTACCACCTTCTCTAAAATCTCACCATTTCTGTGCTAGAACCTTCTAAAAAGGCAATGCTGGTGAAAGTGGCATAACAGGCGACGAAAAACTAAATAAATGCTGGTTGTGTAACATTAAACCCCTCATGGGGTACCTTTCTTTCTTATTTTTGTGATTTTTCCACTGCAACTCGGTCTTTTAGGGTGCGATACAAAACGCAAGAGAAACAAAACCAGAAAATAATTACTCACAGTCACCACCATTGCCCGGGCTTATCCCCCACTTCCCAAGGAATGCTGGATTCCTAAGAGTACTCCTGTGTTTTAGAGAGGAAAAAAAACCCCAGCCTACAGTGAATAAATAAAATAAATCAGCAAAGTTCTTCCTTCTGCCAGCAGTTGAGGGTGCACAAATCCAGGGGGAGCTGCTCTGGGTGGTCCCAAAAGGGCACCTGACCCCCTGGGAGTGTGCAGGGGTACCCAGGGTCACAAGGATGGGGATCCCTAAAACACGTTCTGGGATGCAGACACCACATTTGGGCTGAGGATGGGAGGCAAACATACCTGGCAGGTCCCTCCATGAACCCTGGCTTCTTGTTCCCAGCATCTTCCCACAGAATTCATCTCTGTCCTCCTTCCCGTGCTGGCGTCCATCACCACGGGCAGTGCTGCTTGTACTGCGAGGAGCAGCCAGAAACATCTACAAAAACTTGATAAACTGGGAAAAAAAGCTGGAGAGAGGTCAGAGGGGATGATAGAGGAAAAGAGAGAGGACAGTGCCAGGAGAAGGGGGATAAATGGACTCTGTGGCCCTAGCACATGCACCAGGGATGGTTTCGGAAAGGAAGGAGGGTGACAGCACAAGCCCTCTCATGGATCCCCCTGAAATGTTCCTCTCAGATACAGCTATGTCTTTTAGGGAATATAAAATGTCCTCCTGCAGCAGCCTGCAACAATTTTATTCTCAAAATAGCTTTTTTTGGGGGGAGGGGGGGGAAACCTCAAAACCCTCGAGTCTTGCAACAGGTTTTGATGGCAAACGCGGGCAAATCTGGAATATTTGCTTATTCCTTTTATTGAACCTGCCGGCTGATTTGATTACTTCCCTGGAAACGCATGTGCAAATCAGTTTTCCAGCCGTTTGAGGGCACTGCCTTCCGCCGAGACGTCTCCGGTGACTGATGCCAACTCCTCGCTAATGCAATGTGCAGGAAGAGCCGGCGCTGGATGCCGACGCCGATGCCCAGAGCTTTCAGCCGCTCGCAGCCATAAATCCCTTCATTCCCAGATGCAAAACGCTGCCTTCGGAAATGCCTCGCCCACAAAAAAAATTCAATCTCTTAAATGAAGCAGGCTGAAGCCGCGCACTCACCCGGATAGAAGGATCTGATGATGGAAGAGCGGGGGGAAAAAAGGGCATCAAATTGAAAAGCCCCAGGGAGATGAATGGGAGATAACGGAGAGAGAAACATTTACAGCCTGAAATGATTCCTCCTCCCAGGCAGATTTCCTTCTCTCCTCCATGGGAGGCATCCAAAGGAGAGCCACAGTGCAGGCACCTCGGAGCAGGGATAAATCCGAGTGTAAGAATCCGAGCAGACAGTTAAGACTACACAAGTAAGCAAATTTATTTGAAGACAGAACAAATATCGTGGCAAACAACAATATGCAAATTCAGTTGAGAACGAGGGTAAATATCAGACTTCGTTTTCAAATCGATATAAAATATAGTCAGATTTTCTTTTGTCCAAAAAGCAGCTCGCGTCGGGGTGGGGGGGGTTGGGAGGGGATGGCCCCGTTCACCCCATCCGAGGTGAGTGTCACCTGCAAAACCTCAGGCTCAGGAGGCCGGCAGAGATGAGTGATGCCAAGAGGAGATGGAGGTGCCTTTGGGACTCCAATTTTCTGCCTCCATTCTCCTTAACAGCCAATTTTTGCCACGAAGCAAGGGATGGGTTCATCCCCTCCGAGACCCTCAGTGCCTACCTACCTACATACGGATGGGGCGGTCCCGGGGATGCCAGCTGCTTTTAAGGGTTGGGCATCTTTGAAGGCACCTGCACCTCCTCTTCCTCGCTGGCTCCTGATGGATCAACCTCCCGTGGCTGAGCCTGCAAAGCCAGCGAGGGAGCAGCTCACCTCGGATGCCAGAGGAGTGAACGGGACGAAATCCCCTCCCGGGGCGAAGGTGCTGGCGCGCTGCTTTCTAGAAAAGCCATCCCAAATAAAAGCAAGACATAGAAAACATTAGATTGTCAATGAGGCTTTGAAACAAATTCAAGTTTATCCTTAATTTTTCTCATGTGTGTGTGTGTGTGTGTGTGTGTGTGTGACTTCATACAAACAGACAAGAAAGACGTGGTGAACTTCAAGCTCCGGATCGGCATGTGGTCAGTTAGTGTCCGCAGAAGCACCATCGGATACGGAAGAGTTTAGCACCAGAGAGTTTGGAGGACCTAACTGAGAACATGCGTCCTTTGGAAAAACGTGGGGGCGGGTTGGGAATGGGCAGTGGGGAGACATGGAACAGTCCATTAGAAACAATACAAGGCAATTCATGAGTTTTCATACAGTACAATACAGTCACTGATCAATTAACCCTTTCAGTACAGTACATGACAAGTAACACTTTGCACCCTGTTAACACTAGGAAAGGAGGGGTTTGGGCTGGAGGGGGGTGGCCTGGTGGGTTATCCCTTCTACCTTTGAATTTCAGGGACTGTGTCTGTCCCGCCTCAGCTCGGACAGCCTGGCCCCAGCCTGGCTCCCGGAGGGATGCACTGGTGGAATGTGATGCCACCAGTCCATCCACCCACAGCGAGGTCTGCACCCAAACCAGAGCATCCCAGAATCCCAGGATGGTTTGCGCTGGAAGGGACCTTAAAGATCGCCTAGTTCCAACCCCCCCCTGCCACAGGCAGGGATGCCTTTCACCAGACCAAGCTGCAGAATGGTCCTGGTTTGGCCATGGAAGTGGAGAACCACCACCCCTCTGCCTCGTGCCAGCCACTGAACCGATGAGAAAACCTCCAAGTGAAGTTCCACCCGGCCGGTTCTGGTGCCGAAACACACAGAGAGGGTTCAGGGGCTGAGCTCAGACAGCCCCGAGCCAAACCCGCTTCTTCCCTCGGGCGTAGTGAGAACAGGGTCCATTGGAAAAGTGCTAAATTACAGTACATTGGCATTTCCATATGTCAACTACTGAACAGCAAAACAGATTGTTTGAAAACAGAATCAGTATCGTACAGTAAGTTCACACTTAATTCTTCACCGTTTCTACACTTGTAACACATGCATTTTATTTCCATTAGTTTAATGCCAGTAGGACCAACATCCTCCAGAACAATGATCTAACATTAAACAAAACTTCCTAAGGAAAATATTAAGCATCACATAAAGTTCCAGGAAAAACCTGTTAATTAGCATCACAAGGTACTCAGATTTACATTTAGGAGTTTTCATGCCATGACTTTTAAAACACCTTTTGGTTAATATCCTTGGGGGGGGTGGGGGAAAACAAACCCAAATAAAATAACCAAACCAACAGCAACGACAAAAAAA